TGACCACCTCGCGACACCGCCTCCACGAGGTTTCGTCTCAGACCAATGGCCGTTCTGATCGTCTCCCAGCCAGTCGATATGCTTGACCCGACAAGTTGGTGTCCGGACCGGACGAATCCCACGAATCGGTTGCTGCGGTGGGTGGACGAGTCGGAATTGCCGCTGCAAGACGGACGCAACTCTCGGACCTCCGCCGCCTGGTCAGCGCTTCTGACGAGAATCGACCGAGGAAGGGTGAAACATGCACGAGCCGCTGTCGCCATGCCAACGACCGTTGGACCGTCTGAATGGATGGGCTTGAATCCGTCAAGGGGGGCAATACGTTCTAGCCTGTAGAGCGGTTGCCAGGTGCCAGGTGTACCGACGCCGCTGGTCGGCAAGACGCCCCAGGCTGCCTTACTCGGAGGCGTCAGATACTCGAGGGTGACGGGGTCAATGGGTGTCATGTTGCGCCAACGTAGGCAACTGGGGCACACACAGGCCTGGCTGACACGCGAGCCTCCGCTCTCGGAGAAGAAGAGGCCGAGGCGGGTCGAAGGAGTAGTTGCCAGGGTGACTGCAGAAGAGGCGGCCGACAAAAGCTGAATGGAGGGGGGCGCGTATCTGGCCGCAGACGGCTTCGCGTCCAGAAGACCTGCACCACCTCCAGTTGACAAGTAGGAGAGCAGCCCACGGGTCCATAGATTCTGTACCATCTTGGTTTTGGTGAACCGACAATGGAGCACTAGTTGGCAGGTGGATGGGGCAGAAGGAAGAGGCAGAACTGGTTTGTAGCTTGGTGAAGGCGGATACCGAAATCGTAAAGCCTCAGGCGCTTAGTGCCTCCAAGACGGGAAATCTGAAAGTTCTGTATAGTCGGTGAGGGAGAGACGTGAGGGGAAAGTGCTCCAGATAAATGAGGCTATCTGTTATTTGCAAACGGTGATGAAATTGCTTGAATCCACTTAATCGAGAAACTGAGTACAGCACAAGGAAATGAGAAAAGATAAAAAGTTGAATAAGCAGAAGAATTATGTTTCGAAGAATACGATGATAGATTAAAGATGGAGTACATGTCCTGTCGACGGAAGAAGTGAGTGGAAAGGTGAAGGGGGTTGGTTATACCGAGCATCAAAGATGGGATATCGAAGAGCAGTAAATGAAAATGAATGCGAATAAGTAATAAGTAATAAGATAATCAACCAGCGAACAGAATGGAGAATTATGGAGCATTCGAAAGAGGTGTGAGGAAAGGATGTGGAAAACAAAACATAATTTAAGGAAAGTGAGAAAGAATAAGGAAAAGAAAAGTCATTTTCATCAAAAAATATCAGAATTTAGTAAATATAAACAAAGTTAAATCATTTCATCAAATATCATTCAATTGCAAATCATCTCATCTGACTGCAACTCATCTCATTTCATCTCATCAATAAACATCAAGGCTCAA